CCTCCTCCTCCTCCTCCTCCTCCTGGTGGTCCTCGTTCTCCTCCTCCTGGTCCTCCTGGTGGTCCTCGTTCTCCTCCTCCTGGTGCTCTCCCCCCACCTCCTCCTCCTCGTCCTCGTCCTCCTCCTCCTTGGTCGTCCTCCTCCTCCTGCTCGTCCTCCTCCTCCTCCTGCTCGTCCTTCTTCTCCTGCTTCTCCTGCTCCTCGTCCTGCTCCTGCTCGTCCTCGTCCTCCTGGTCTTGCTCGTCCTCCTCCTCGTCGTGCTCTTGCCCCTGCTGAAAATGTAGCCCAGGAATGGAGAGTTTTGGGAAGTCGAAGAGCACGAAGTTGCCTACAGTTGGCTACGGGCATTCAAAATGTGGCCCGGGAATGGAGTTCTGGGAACTCGAAGACCACGAAGTGGCCTACAGTTGGCTCCGGGCATCCAAAATGTGGCCCGGGAATGGAGTTCTGGGAAGTCGAAGAGCACGAAGTGGCCTACAGTTGGCTCCGGGCATCCAAAATGTGGCCCGGGAATGGAGTTCTGGGAAATGGAAGAGCACGAAGTGGCCTACAGTTGGCTCCGGGCATCCAGAATGTGGCCCGGGAATGGCGTTCTGGGATGTCGAAGAGCACGAAGTGGCCTACAGTTGCATCCGGCCCCCCAGAATGTGGCCTGGGAATGGAGTTCTGGGAAGGCGAAGAGCACGAAGTGTGTGACTGTTGGTGAAAAACGAGCCCGGCTCACTGCCGCCCGGCAACTCCCAACACCTGCCCGGACCCCCCTGTGGAACCTAACAGCGATGTGTAGGAGCATATCTGGAAGCATTCCCCTTAAGATTCAAATGAGAATCCAGTTGTAGAGTTCTGCTGTTCTCGCAGTCGTAGTCGCATTCGCGATGACAGTCGCAGTGGCAACGGCAGTCGCAGTCACAGCCTCAGCCTCAGCCTGCCTCAGCCTCAGCCTCCGCCTGCCTCAGCCTCAGCCTGCCTCAGCCTCAGCCTCAGCCTGCTTCATCCTCAGCATCAGTCTGCCTTCAGCTTCGGCCTCAGCCTCAGACTGCCTCAACCTCAGCCTGCATCAGCCTCAGCCTCAGCCTCAGCCTGCCTCAGCATCAGCCTGCCTCAGCTTCAGCCTCAGCCTCAGCCTGCCTCTGCCTCAGCCTCAGCCTGCTTCAGCCTCAGCCTCAGTCTGCCGTCAGCCTCGGCCTCAGCCTCAGCCTGCCTCAGCCTCAGCCTGCATCAGCCTCAGCCTCAGCACGAAGCAACCCAGCTAGAAGGACAAAGCGCTGAATGTACACCGATGTGTTCGACGACTGCGTATGTAATGATGTGACGATATACAGACTGAGCCCTTCGTGAATGTCTACATGTTTTTCTGACGCCTACAAACGGCGCTGACGTGTGTGTGAAAAGTGTCCGCGCAGCAAAAGCCGGCGAAGCGTGCAGACAGCCAGCTGCAAAAGGTTGCGAGCGGCTCTTGGAAGACGTTTACGGAACGGAGCTACGGTGTCTGAAAACAATGGCATCGAAGCGAAGAGCCTCGGAGCCCTGCAGCCTGAGAAACACCGCAGGAACTCGCATACTGAAAAGGAATGCATTGCAAACCGCACGTTGCGAACCCTGCAGGCTGAGAAGCACCGCAGGATGTCGCATGCTGAAAAGCACTTGTACTGCAGAGCGCAGGCTGCGAAACCTGCAGGCTGAGAAGCACCGCAGGAACTCGCATGCTTTCGAACACTACTGCTCGAGACCGCAGCTGGAGAGCGGCAGACCGCAGGCTGAGAAGCACCGCGGGCAGAGAGACTTGCAAAACTCAGATGTCCTGATCGTCTTGGAGGAAGTCACGCCAGTCCGGCGGCTGCCAAGAATCGATGATGCGCCTGGAGCCACCGCCCGTGCTGCCGCCGATGTCCAGGTAGTCGCCATCGCCCCTGAACAGACGGCCGTGCCCGCACGCCAGAATCGCTTGGTTGCGGATTTGAAGCAGCGCTCCGCTCTCAAACATCTGCAACACGTCCTGCTGCCTGCGCGTGAAGTTCGGCTTTGCCTGGCCAGCCTGGGCAGACAGATATAGGGAAAGCCGCTCCCCCTCGTTGTAGCGCGCGATGGCCTCGGCCTTCTGGTGGTGCAGCCGGCGCCGCTGTTGCCGCAGAGCTTCCTCGGGAACTGCTGCATCACGGCCCTCACTGTGATCAGCTTGCAACGCTTGCGTTAACCAATCAACGTCGAAGCGCCCTGAGAAGGCCAGCACCTCCCAGATCTGTTTAGTACCGGCCACACGTTGCAAATGGCGATGCCACCGCTTACGCTTCTGGTCTTTCACAAACTTGGCGACGCTACCCAGACCTGCACCCTTGGCCTGGCCACCTTTTCCCGCAGGCTGAGAAGCACCGTGAGAACCTTTCTTACCGCCTGGCCCTTTGTTCGGACCCTGCGGAACCGCATGGCCCCCTTGTGGCGCAGACTTGCCTTTCGCTTTTCCCTTTTCGATATCCCGTTCCTGAAGCGCACGCTGCTGCCGCGACTGCTCGTACTGGTCGCGAGCTACTCTGACCAATTCCTGGCGCTCAGGCTCCGTGAGAACGTAGCGCATGTCGTCGATGTTCTTGCTCCGCAGAAAGTCATGTCGAAGCTTAAGGACAGAGAGAATGGCTCGGCCAGTCTCCTCCTGAGACGCAAAGGCCGTGTCATATTCCGAGCCAGGCTGAGGAGCGCCAGCTGGATCAGTGTCCGCTGGCTCCGTGGACTTCCTCTTTTTGAAAAGCAAGAGACTGAGATGATGGAGGACTTTCGGATCGTACTCCTCGTCGTACCTGTCGTCCCAAAGCTTCCTCAGCTCCCTGTGCAAGTCGTCCGCGCGATTCTGAACGACATCCTCGACGTAGTCGGGATCACCCGGTGAAGTCGGTGAAAGCGGAGGAGCAGAACTCGGCGACCGATCCCAATGCACAGAAGACTCGCGGTCCGCCTGTACGCTGACGTCGGCGTCGGAGACGTTTTCGACGACAATTTTCCGCCTCTTGCTCTCCCCAGGCTGAATAGCACCAGGGAGAGTGAGCACAACCGCCACCGCATCGTGTGCGTCGTTGCGCATGCCACGATCCGTAAAAGACGCGCCAACGGCAATGGAGCAGAAACGGGCGACTGCTCCGCAGACCGCGACGTGGTCGCCTTTGAGGTCGGCCGGAGTGGCATGGACCTCCCATACCTTCTCGTCGTTCTGCTCGCGCTGGTAAGCCTCCCGCGCCTCCTGGAAAGTGAGGTTGTCGTCGCCGACTACAAGCACAACGACTGCCTCGTTTAGATTCTCAAGAATCTTGGCCAGGCCGTCCAGGTGCAAGCGGAGATGGCGAACTGTCCGCTTTCGAGTCTGGATGCTCGGCGGTTTCTTGCCGCACACGATGTGCATGTTGGCGATCACCACGTGGAACTTGTCATGGCCTGGTTTGTTCACCTCAAAATGTGAAATAACAGCATCAATATCTCGGCCGCTAGGAGGCCTGTAAACTTTGCTGTCTTCGCACAGAGTCAGTTCCGCAGGCTGAGAAGCACCGCGGAACCCCCAGAGAGTCAAGTAGTTGTCGACCTCCAAGAAGCGAATGCCATCACCGAAAGGCTTACTGAGGATGTCTGTCACGTTGATCCCTGCTCGGCGAAAGCCTTCACGGAACGCACCGACCTCGCAGCCACAGACCATATCAGCATCAGCGGTCTCCACTATCTTGGCGCACAACCTTCCGAAGTTAGCGCAGTGAGTGGCCGCCTGCTTACCAGTCATCATGCCCTGCTCGAACCCGAAATTGAACGAGGCGACCGTGAAAGACGCAGGCTGCACAGCGCCAGAACCAGGCGTCTGTCCACCTTCCTCCGCAGGCTGAGAAGCACCGCGAGGCGGCGCAGGCTGAGAAGCACCGCGAGGCGGCGACACTTCGGACGAGCCTCGCGGAGCAGAGGCTGCGGATGAACGTTGGACATGGGGGTACGGCCAGGGGAACGCCATTGCAATCAAAACTCAGTGGACTGCAGTGAATGAATGTAGTGGCCAATTGAATGCAGAGGACTGCAGTGTCACTAGCAAGTCCTGAACCAAACACAGCTGTGGCGGAAGGAATATGAAGCGTCTGGCTATTCAAAATGTTGCCCGGCAATGTCCTCCTCCTCCTCCTCCTCCTCCTCCTCGTCCTCCTCCTCCTCTTCCTCCTCCTCCTCCTCCTCCTCCTCCTCCTCCTCCTCCTCCTCCTGGTAGTCCTCCCCCTCCCCTCCTCCTCCTGGTAGCCCAGGAATGGGAGTTTTGGGAACTCGAAGAGCACGAAGTGGCCTACAGTTGGCTCCGGGCATTCAAAATGTGGCCCGGGAATGGAGTTCTGGGAACTCGAAGAGCACGAAGTGGCCTACAGTTGGCTCCGGGCATTCAAAATGTGGCCCGGGAATGGAGTTCTGGGAAATCGAAGAGCACGAAGTGGCCTACAGTTGGCTCCGGGCATCCAAAATGTGGCCCGGGAATGGCGTTCTGGGAACTCGAAGAGCACGAAGTGTGTGACTGTTGCATCCGGCCCCCCAGAATGTGGCCCGGGAATGGCGTTCTGGGATGTCGAAGAGCACTTTGTGTGTGACTGTTGCATCCGGCCCCCCAGAATGTGGCCTGGGAATGGAGTTCTGGGAAGGCGAAGAGCACGAAGTGTGTGACTGTTGGTGAAAAACGAGCCCGGCTCATGCCGCCCGGAAACGCCCCAACACCTGCCCGGACCCCCCTGTGGAGTGATCTGTGAGCTCTTTTGAGTCAACTAGAAACCTATCAGTCTTCGCTGTTAGGTAAAGATTCCCCATATGTTCGCATATTTTCTGGGTTTTTGTCTTCCCCCCCACTTCCCATATTTTCCTGGGGATCGACGATTAATTGTGTCTGTGTGTTTCTTCCCCTCCTGAGACAAGACCCTCACGGAACCTCATATAAGCCCTACAAGATCCATACGGAACCCGCTATGGGGTCCTAGCGAATGCACACGAAAAACTGCTGGCTCCTGGGCCACAGCCGCCTCCAGCGCCTGCTGCTGGGCCAGCAGGGTTCGCTGCTCCACCTGCGCCAAGCTCTCCGGCACCTCGACGGCCAGACTGCCTCCGCCGCACCAGGGCTCGGCTTTGGGAGGCGGGGCGCGGAAGGCATCTGGTCGAAGTCTTTGCCCGCCACCGCTTTTTCTCCTCCTGGCCCTCCTGGTCCTGTTGGTCCTCCTAGTCCTGCTCCTCCTCCTCCTCCTGCTCCTCCTCCTCCTCCTGCTCTCCGTCGCCATTTTGGCGCAAGCATTCAATCTTTGCCAGGCCCGCCCCTGGAAAAACCTGCGCTGGTCCGCCCCGGCGCGGGCTTCCTCCCCATTCTCGCGTGCAGGGCCGTTCACGCTCATAGGCGTGGCTGTAACCACGCGGGTTGCAGACCGTGTCGTGCGCGCAGTGGTGACATGGTGTTGTGTTTCCTGTAACAGCAAGGAGAGTTCACCGTCTGCCTCGCGCACACTCACTTCTCAAAGGAGGGCAGTCTCATAGTCAGTCAAACAATTGTCTGGCAAGGACCGCGAGATTGCCAAGCTAAGGAGGCCTTGGCAAGGAAGGAATCGAGCAGCCACATGGAACTCAATGGTGAAGACGCGTCGTCTGAGCATGGTAATACAGCAGCGCTGGAGGGACTCACCGCAGCTATCACGGCAATCGATGACCCGAAAGACCCTGTGTCGGTCAAATATGAAGAAAAAATTGTGGTTGACCAAGAACGTATTCGGGCGAACATTCTTCCCGACATGCCGGTCAGTGCCTAACTCCACCAGCTCACGAATCGTTGAACGGCGTTGGAAAAGAACATGATCGACCCACGAACCCGGAAAGGAATACAGGGCATGGTAACGTTTTCAAAGACACCTGATGGGGCGACGGGCAAATGCAATGCTGAGTGTATCGATCTTGATATACCGTGCCAGAAATTGTGCTGTGCTGCGCCGTGCTGCATCCCACCAGCCCTCTGGGCGCAGGTGGTCTAGGGCTTTTCCTTTTCCAACCTCCTGCCTTTCCCTGCTTGGGAGGTTTACCCCCGCCCCCTCCATGCGTTTGGACGGGGGGGGCGCGACCCCTAGCAGCGCCCAAGATGGCCCAAGATGGCTCCAAGAGGGCCTCAGAGAGCGCAAGATGGCCTCCAAAATGGCCCAAGATAGCGGTAGATGGCCTCCGACAAGGTCCAAGAGGCGTCAAAACGCTCCGAAGCCTCCAAGGACCCCCCAAGAGACCCAAAACCTTCAAACACGGAAAACACTGTTTTTGTGCCTTCTCGCTTTTGTTTCCGATGGGCTCTTGAAGCCTCAAAACGGCCCCAAGACGGCCCAGGATAACCCCAAAAAGGGTCCAAGAGGGCCCCAAGACGGCCCCAAGAGCGCTCCAAGAGCGGGCCAAGAGGGCCCCCAAGACGGCATTTTTGAGCCCCCGAGGGGGGGGCTCAAATTAAGGACCCCCTCCTTTTTTTAGCGAAAGGGTCCAAGACGGCCCCAAGCCCCTCAGGCATCCCAGAAGAGCCCCAAGAAGGCCCCCAGACCCCCCAAAGGAGCTCCAAGAGGGCCCCAAGACGCCTCAAATGAACCCCAAGAAACCCCAAGGAGGCCCTAAGAGGACCTCAGGAGAGCCCCGAGAAAGAGCCCCAGGAGGCCCCGAAAGGAAGGGAATCCCACGAGGGCCCCAAGATGCCTCCAAGTTTCGGAACGCACGCGAGTTTAAGATACAAATCGGCGCAACAGCCATTACGAGTCATCGAAACACCCCTCACCCCTCATCGAAGCACCATCAAAGTTGGCGCCGGCTTCCATCTTAAATTTCAATGCGGGAAGCTATTTGTGATGCTTGTATTCTCGAAGACGGCTGCGCGACTGCATGCGTCCTGCCACCCCTGATTCACCAACTCCCCTGCTGATCGTTTCTGGATAGGCTGGTGGGGATTTTTTGGTTGGACGGCTCGAAGGACAGATCCAGTGAGCGGGATGAGCGTCTGGGCCACAGAGCGAGATAACTGGCTGCAGAGGCACGTAGACCGCTGTAGCGAGTGCACATGCCTGGGACAATGTGACCCTCATTGGGGACCGTCGCAGGCATCCCAGCGGATGGGGGCGCAGACGCGGTGCCGGCGGCGGACGGATAGGAGCAGTCGCCCTCACGGCGCCAAACTCCAGCCGAACCACCCACCACGAAAAGGCGCGGAGCACGGACCGCACTGTAGCGGCACGGGGTGGCCAAGACGAGACCAAACTCCGGCCGAGACGCACGGAAGGCGAGGCAAGAGAGAACAGGAGAGACGCAGCGAACGCCAGACGGGCACCCAGCGGCAGAAAAAAGGGGAAAGGCACATAGGGGGGCCTCACTCGCGGTGACTCACTGTCGCAGACGTCAAGTCTGCCGCTCTTGAACGCGAGGGCGAAAAATACCCTGTCAGCGAACCTGACGTCAATGCCGCCTGTGTCCACAGCGTGCAACTTATCCGACACGGAAGATCGGGGGCACAAAGTTGCAAGCGCTGACCGAGGCACCTGCACGAAGGACCAGCCGGGGGAACCGCGATGCTCTGCCAAAGGATGAACCACTTATGCAGGAACACGCCCGTGCCAGGCCCGACGTCGGGTGGTACCAGAAGCGGGTGGAGTGCGCCAGTCTTCACCTTACGCGAAGCCAAGCCCCTGTAGCGCCCTGAAGCGTACCATGTGGACCAGGGCGACCCGCAGGTGGGGGCGGTCCTGCTAGCCGCTGTGGCGGTGACCAAGGGGAAGGGTTGAAACCACTCCCACGCGTCCTTACGACAGCGTGCTCAGCTGGCGACCAGCCGATGCACCACGTCATATCCGTCCAGAGAGTCTGGGGGAAATCACTGCTGTGGTGTCTGGCGCAGGTGGGCCCTGTGCGCCGCGATGAGCACCCGCCTGTCCGCTGGCGCGGCTGGAAGCGAGATGCTAGGCCAGTGCGTGACCCGCAGGGGTGGCTGAAACTGTCAGCTCCCCTGTCATGATGTCCCTTCGCAAAGCTGGGGGCGCAGCCAAGAGCCGCAGAGACTTGTGAATGAACGTGGGGGGTGCAACCAAGCGCCGTCGGCACGACCACCGTGCCCAGGGCCTCCACGCTTGGACCGGACCAAGGCACCGGCACGTCCTCAACCAGGGCACGCTTCGTTGGGGGCGCAGCCAAGAGTCGCAGAAACAGGTGAATGGAGAGCGGGGGAAGGAGGAAGAGGAGGGGGGCGAATCCAACCCGGCGCTGGGTGACAGCCCAGCCGCCTTCGCGGGGCCGGATCGATCTCGGCGATCATGATGGGGGAACGCAGCCAAGAGCCGCACGGACGTGTCGGAGAGGGGCGCAGCCAAGAGCCGCAGAGACCTTGAATGGTGAGATGCATGGGGGGAGCCAGCGGCCGCTGGACACGGCGGGGGGCCCACCTGCTGTCGTGCCATATGCTATTGGAAAGGTGGAGCGCTGGAGGTGGGTTGCTTCAGCCACCCGTCCCTGTCGTCCAAAGTGGGCGCCCCTGAGAGGCGGCGCTGACAGCCCCCTGTCCCGTGGGGTGGCCAGGTCTATGGGCTGGCGGCGCGGCAGTAGGTTACCCAGTCATTGCCGACCTCGGTGCCAGAAGGGGTGGGGCGCACGGGGTGGGCTATTTCAGCCACCGGGCACTCCGTCCAGGGTGGATCCACGAGACCAGCGTGGGCTGCCTAGTTCGCGGCGCATGGGCATCGGTGCACCTATGACCCGAAGGAGGTAGCACGGGGCATTGTGGCCGAAGCCGAGCGCTGCGGTGAAACTTACCCATGTCGTTGCCAGGAGCATCCATATGGAAAACTTCGACCATGGGGTTTACGGACACTCCCCGGCGGCCTCAGTTCATGAGCTCAAAATCGCTGCTCGAGGCAAAGGGCCGGTTGAGGACCATGGGGCTGCCAACCCAGCGAGCTCCACCAGGCGCAGCGGGGCCTCAGATGGCCCACAGGGTCAGCGCAATGGAAACCACCTTGTAGAAGAAGGTGGAGGCTGCGCCCAGCTGGCCCAGATCATCGTTGTCCATGAAGCACGCGTTGCGATCCATGACGGGCCGCGTCGCGACACTGAGAACTGAAATGGTCCAGAGCACCAGTGATGGACTCGAGCCGCAGAAGGGCTGCACGCGCGACCCTCATCAGAGAGGACGGGCGAAGGCGGAGGGGGGGAGAAGAAGCGAGGTGGAGGGGCGACCGAAAGCGTGCACGCGAGAGAAGGCCATGTCGGCGAGAGCTGCGGCGCTCCCGACGCTTGGGGGGGTTGTCCGCGAACCGAGCTGGCCCACTTATGCCCCGATCACTTGGGTCAGAAGTCCCACCCCCGCGGGCGCTTGTCTGCGTGCTGGGCTTCCCCTCTGGGGGAGAACCGCTTACCCTTCGCCTTCCAATCAGCGTCGGTCCATGTGTCCCGCTGGTGACCCCACGCGTCCCAGGACTGCCATGTGCGCCACGATGCGTCTGACCCAGATGCCCCTGTCCATGAAGCCTCCCTGCCTTCAGTGGTCCATGGGGGGGCCCTTGCAACCTCCTTGCCTTCGACGGTCCATGGGGGTGGGCGTCCGCTACCAACGGGCCCGTCGGCGGTGCGCAGTCTGGTGTCGCGTTGCGTAAGTTCGCGATGCTTCTCCATGACACTCGGCCAGTCGACGTGGAGCTGGTATTCTCTATCCATATTGCAGGCGTCAAATCCCATGTTGCTCCATGCCTGGAGGAACTCGTTGCGTTGATGTGCTGAATTTAGCCTGGGATCGGACTTGATGCAGGTACTCCCTTGACTGAGTGCTGCCTTCCTGACCCAGGCACTCCAGACTCCGTTAAACGCGCCCCGCAGCGCCTTCTGCATTCGCGTGATCTTGTCGGGTGCTGGTTCGTCCATTGCGACGTCTGCCTCGTCGATCGACCTCAAGTACATGGGGGGGCCTCCCATGGGGTCGTCAGGGCGTGCTGCGGGTATTGTCGCAGTCCGCGCGTCGTCCCACGAGTCCTGGGTGGTGCGCCGTGCTCTAGATGAGTTGCGAGGCGGCGGCGTGGCCGAGCGCTCTCTGGTCCTGACTTCGTCAACCGCGGGTGC